ATATGGAGCACAACATTTAGGTAATCACACTGACTACTTGATGTATATGAAGCTTATTGCCAGTAGTTGTGTGTTAATAGACATATTTCCAATGCGTACCCTTAGTTGAAGTTTACTAATTATGAATACAGTAAAAATCATACATTAGAAAACAAACTGTACTTATAAAAAGTATTGGTCCTGGATGGTGTAGCTCAGTGGATTGAGCACAGGCCTGCGAACCAGACAATCGCCGTTCGATTCCCGGTCAGGGCACATTCCTGGGTTGCAGGCCAGTTCCCAGCAGGGGATGCACAAAAGGCAACCATACATTGATGTTTCTCTCCCTCTCTCCTTCCCTTTCCCTCTAAAGATAAATAAGTTAAAAAAAGTATTGGTAATTTATGTAACCGGCAAATAATTATTGTACCTATTATGTAAATAACAAATAGTTAAATTCAAGAAACTAACAAAAAAATATAAAGTCAGCCCTGGCTGATGTAGCTCAGTGCATTGAGCACAAGCAGTGAACCAAATGATCTCAAGTTCAATTCCCAGTCAGGGCACATGCCTGGGTTGTGGGCCAGGTCCCCAGTGGGGGCCACGTGAGAGGCAACCACACATTGATGTTTCTCTTTCTCTCTTTCTTCCTCCCTTCCCCCCTCTCTAAAAATAAATAAATAAATAAACAAACAAATAAATGAGTAGATAAATAAATAAATAAAACCTTTAAATAATAATAATATAAAATCAAGGTCCATGAAAAGTCAGTAAAAAAGAAATGTTCATAAACCCCAAAATATGAAAAGATTATCAGTTTTACTCATAATAAGAGAAATGTAAACAAAATTACACAGAGATGCAATTTTTCACTGATTATGTTTTACAATCCTATCTGTTGTCATTGCCATAGAGAAATAATCTCTTCAACACATCACTGAGAGAGGTGCAATATACCCAATACCTATGGAGTAGATCTAGTAATATCTACTAAAATTAAGATTTATAGTTCTTTGAAAAAAATCTCACTTCTATAAGTCTCTCCCACAGATACACCTGCATGCTAAATCATATGTGTACCAGGACAGTCATTACACTTTTGCATGTAATGTCACAAAACCAACAATAATAAAATCAAAACATGAGAATGAATGAACGTTCATTGAAATGACTATTGGGGAGGGTTATTATGCCAGTGAAACTGGTGAAATAAAGGCCTCCAAGAAAAGGCCTCCAAGAAATGATCTTTTCCATATAAGCAATAATTGATGGGAGATGTTTTTGTTTTAATAATTTCCCATAATCATCAAAACCCCTACAAATGGTGATGGTTTATGGAGTACTTCTCTATGAATTTGCTATATTTGATCATTACAATAGACATGGAGATACCATGTGAATAAAGATGAAATAGTAGTCCCAAAACCTGCTTTGAAAGCATTCACGGTATGTTAACAGACAGACATCTTAACCAGAGACTACAAAGATGTCCCGTAACTGACCCTTAGTAAATAGTGTAGATGTCACAGGCCTTGTTCTCTCTTGTCACTACTCGTTTCTGCCACTGTAGCTTAAACACTGCCATTCACAACACATAAATGCATGAGTATGACTGTATTCTAATAAAACATTTATGCAAATAGAATTAGATTTCATGTAATTGCTGAGTGTTATGCAATACTACTTCAAATATTTTTAACAATCTAAAGAAACAAAATTTTTTAAATATGTAAGTGAAGCCAAAACACGCAGCTAGTTGAATTAGGCACACAAGCTATAGTTTAAATGACCCATGATCTAAACCATAACCAGTTGAATACAGTTGAATTAGTAATAAAAATATCAAATACTATTTCTCAGTTTTATGTGTAAGAAAACAGAAAGCAAAAAAATAAATAGACTTGCGAGTTTTGATACAGATAACAAGCAGAGAAGCCGGAACTGAAACCCAGGTCTTTCCTCACCAGTCAGCATTATCTCATGGAGATGAGTCTACTTCCATGACGGACGTGATGCATGACACATGGCATGCTTTTTAGGTTGAGTGCAACTACTTACATGAATTATATTCATTATAATGGCATTTATTCAGCACTGTTTTACCTTTGAAAAATAAACAATAGCCTAGATGGTCTATGTTGCTTTTACATAATACTTACAAAAGAAAAAACCCATTTGAATTAAAATAATAATGACATCACCATCACATTTATTCCAGGAGTAAAAGGTTAGTAATCAGCTGTTATATCTTCATTCCTCTAGTTGCTCAATAATTTAAAAATATTTTTAACAAATCTATGAGCTCAAATTTATGAGATATATTCATATGTCATTTTTGGTATTTGATCTCTCATGGTCATTATATTCTGGAAAAAATTATGAATCATCAAACACACATGTAATGTAATGTCTATGTGTAGTTACATATGTGTGTGCATATTTTGTGCAATATATGTGTGTGATATGTGTAAATATCATATGATATATATTTATGTATAATTGATACATATTACCCATGTATATGTATATGTACAATTATACTATTTAGTATTAGAAACAGCCTTATGATCACAGCCTCAGGCACATAAATATCCTAGCAGTGAATAACAATATTTGATCAATGTCAACAAAATAAATTCCCCCCTTATAAATCCAGTTGTTGACAGAAAAGTCTAAGAAAGTTATCATAAGGAATATGGGAAGTTGATCTGTAGCAAAACACTTAGGCTTAAGTTTTTATCAAAAGTACAGCAAATGTTTTATAATATGAACTATAATGACACATTATAAGTAATTACAACCAAGAACTGAAGGATACTTTGAAACAAGCTTATATAATGGAACTATAAAAATATTATTTCAATAGCAAAACTATATTATATAATTATTATTTTGTTTGTGTTGACCAAATTCCTGCTAGTATTTTTGTGACAGAGAGGGGAAGAGAGATCATTTTCAGTTCTCTGCAGGTGTCCTTTCTCATGTTCATAGTAATTTTAATAATTCCATGTTTTATTTAAGAGTACTTTGAAAATATATGGTTGGTCTTTATGAGAGTATTTATGAGTTGTAGATATAAATTCACTTATTTAACAAATAAAGTAATGGGACAAAGGCACATTATTCTATTCATATATGAATTATTGGGCCTTGTAAGCTTTTTGGAATTACCACAGTATGTACATGTATGTGCATGTATGTAATTGTGTATGTTTGGTGTTGACAGGTGAGGGAAAATGTACACAATTAAGTTAGATTTGTACATAAAGGCAGATGAGAACAGAGCATGAGTGAGGGTCTCAGGTTGGGTAGGATATAAGAGGATTGGGCTGGACCTTTTATATTTGTCTGTCAATACTACAAACAGTAGAACAGATAACAGTTTCTACAGAACCTCTTATAACCTAAACGATGTCACAGACCTGCAACACTTCCTGATAAGGAATAAGCTCTCAACCATATGTTCATTGGCACCTAAGCACAGAAAGATCTCTCCATCCTGGTCTACCTCTTGAGGCTTTATCATTTACTAAAATTGGGTGACTCAGGAGAAAATGCAAATTTGTCTCATTTTTCTGTTTCCCTTTCTAGCAAAATTTGCTTTTTAGTTAAATCAAATGATAAGAAGTATGCATAACAAAACATTTTCATAATTTTTTCATTTGGTATAATCCTAAAGGAAAAAAAATGTGTGTGTGTGTGTGTGTGTATTCTCCCCCCCCCCTTTTTAAGGGTGATAGAAAAAGGACTTTGAAGTTCATAACAAAAATAATTTTCTAATAATTCAATATGTGGTATGCTTTTATTTTACACCTTTGTTTCCATTTACCTCATGGGATACCTTGTAGGAAAAACAATATATGGTATAAAAATGAGTGGCTTTGGTCTCATTTTCATATGTGTATAAGGAAATGATAGCATTGTTTCAGGTCTTCTTTTGCATTCATGTTCTGACTCCATAGCTCCTGCCTTGTATGAAAATACAGCTGCAGCTGAGTCCCTGTTGGATGAGAGGTGGAACAGATGGCCTGTGATTTTGCACTGCCTACACATTAGGAAAGCGCCATGGCTTGGATTGAGTACATTTTTTTTTTTTAGTACTAACATCGCTAACGTGAAAATAAATAGTCAAGCAGGACGATGAAAGTCATTGAGCCACCGCCATAGATATTCTACCACCATGCTTGCTGTCTCTCTCAGGGATTGTGCTAACTTAAGTGTTGCTACTTCCCAGGATATATCAGTAATTCATCAGAAGGCTTCTCCACTTCCCACCCAATTCTTTGCCCTAGAACCTAGGTGACAAATACTTAAACTGTTTCATTTACTGAACACACAATTTCCTAAAGGGTTTTGTAAGCCATTAAGTTGTCTTGTCTGTGGATTTGAGAGAAAGAAAAATTTATTTTTGATCATTTTATCAACTTTTCTTTTGGAATTTAACAACACCTGTACATCCATATATTTAATCTATATTGAAAATATGTCAACTATTTATGAAAATTAATTTGAAAGGTTGGAAAAATATCCATGTGCTTTAAAGGCTGACAATTTCAAATATAATCTATGTAAAAATCAATGACAATATATTAAATGTCATGATATAATATCTTCTTTTTAGCCTCATGTGCATTAATAATAGATTTTAAAAACTGTAAATGTGAATGTACCAATAAACGACATCATGCATTTTAACATGCCTTCATGGTAATAAAGATAAAATTACTTAATTGTGCGTTCAATTAAGTGTTTTCATTTTACATATGGGAACAGAAAGAGTAATATGTTGATAAAGAGCATTCCAGCTATGATGTACAGACCAATGTTCAGAGATGTGACATAATTGGTATAAGCGATTTTTTACAATCATTGTTTTGAAGTGATTAGTATTAACTATTAGCGTATATAACATGATCTCTTACCATTCATGTCTCTTCCCATTCAACTCCGACTCCCACTTCACCCTCATCTCATCTCACAATTTCCCAGAAGAGGATAAAAGCCAATCAACAAAACCTTACCTTTCCAACGTATTGTGGATCTGGTCCCATATGTTCTTCTAAAACAAAGAACTGATTCCAAACCCATCCCCTTTTGGGACGATGGTGGACTTCGGTTTCTCCTTCAATGTGTTTGGTTTGGTTCCTGGTCACCTTGACGGAGCTGTGGTGAGCAGTTCCATAACACCTCTGCACAAAACAGAGACACACGAGGACTGGACAGATGCAAGATGTGCTCGTAATTTTCATTGTAAGATAACTTGCCAGTTCACAGTTCTTTCTTTTCCTTGTCAGCTCCAAATGCTTAGTGAGCATTCAAGACAGAATCCAAAGCATGGTTTGGAAGGGCAGTCCAAAGTAAATTGTTTAGCATGTCCATGATTTAACTGTCCATCAGGGAAAGGTCAGACTGCATTTACATCCTGAAACACTTTAGAGATTCAAAACTGTAGTTGTGTGTTTCTAAGTCTTCACAAGAGGTGAACACAGGCAACCATTTTCTACCTAATGGAAAGAGAGAAAATTACATACATAACAAAACATAATAGTTTCAAGTATTTGCTCTGAATGTAAATTGAACTATTTTGTAGTGTGATGCCGATAGGCAAAGAATGTGTGCAAATTCTTTTGGAAATGCATGCACATAATGATGCATAGGCCCGGGCACTGCACACACTTTGAGATGGACTTCCCTGTCTGTACCGCTAACTTTCAATATGCTTTGAGGGTAAGTGTATAGTGAGGATATTTACATATTCCTTGAAACAACAGAAATGCAGCCTGAGGGAGTGTTTACATGTCCAGACAGTGACGATGAGTATGTGCAAATGCCTGAGTGTAGTACAACTGCTTACAATGTGTGATGTATTAGGAACCTCATGCTAAGTGCAAGAATTTTATTTGTTTTGCACTTATTTATTTTTGTTAGATGTAATAAAAACTGACTGCGCATTAATTACCTACCACATGTGATTCACTGAACTACAACAAAATACTTCCCTAGGGTTGAAAAGTTGTCACAGACCATCACAACAATTAAGTAGGTACTTGAGCTCTTTGCTAAGTAAAAGAAAACAGACAAGAAGATGGCTGGGCAAATGTATGAAACAAAGTTACTCTACGCTCACAAATCAGATTGGCACAATCAATTACGAGTGAGAATATCAATAGGCTCAGTCATAGCTTGTGGGGATGTTTATAGACAATACTCTAAGGTGTGGTCTTCCCACAGAGGCTTCCTCTGTGCAGATATTCAAGCATGGGAATGACCCTGCACATAATTCTATCAGCCTTGTGAAGACAGGTGTAAGGAAGAAAGGAATGGTGGCCAAAAGAAGTGGAAGATGTTTTGATTTTCAAATAAAATGTTGGAGCCTTGGACTTGGGTTATAGTACAATTGATAATAAAGTAAAATTTAAGAGAGATTTCTGGTAGACAAAAAAAGCAGGATTTGGGAGAGAAAAAAGTTGACTCAATTAGCTTATGGAAAACATAAAACTTTGTGTTTTTTTTCTCTTTTTACATGTGTATATTTTAATATGCATTTAGAAAAATTATACTGACTCAAATTATCCTGCAAAAATATTAGATGAATCACTTTCTCATTCCATTAAATTCACCCTTGTAAAGCAGAATAAACTAGAGTGTGACTCTAAATGAATCAGAATGCGGTTGACATGACAGAATATTTAAAAAATGTAATAGAAATAATGAGGAATAGCATAATTATTTAATACAATTGATAAAAGTGTTTATACTGAGTAGGAAATTAAAATAAAAATTACATGAGACCCAAAACAAGGCCCTTTCTCCATCAATATGTCTCCCCATAAATTAGGGTTAATAATAATGCTTACCTCACCAGATGCACAAGTATTATATTGAACAAGAACTGGGAATTCATTTTAATTATTTAGCATCATGAATTACATTTCATAATTTTTTAAAGCATAGATAAATATTTACTGACTTAAAATGACTTAAAACTCCCCAAACTTCCCTTTTCTTCTTCCTTACATTTTTTAGGATTTAATTACTACATGTACTTATCTGAATCATATAATTTCTTCAAGTCTCAATCTTCTCATTTACTAAAATTTGTATGTAACTTTTAATATGTTTTCCAGTTTATCTAATAAATTTCTTAGATGATTTTATATAAAAGTTTAATTTCTCACTTGTCAAAATATCCTAACTTTGAAGTCACAAATCTCAAACTAAGAAACTTTTTTAGCCTTTCTTCTTAGAAGCAAAGTTGATGAATATGTAGAAGGTGTTATCTTAATACTTTAACACCACTCGGTGTGATTGTTAAATGAAAGTTGCATCTTTGCTTTTTATGCTAAGTTGTTTAGCAAAGCATAATTCATGAGTGGAAGGTGAAGAAAGGGTCTTTCATAATACAGCCCAGACATGCAGAATGAGTGTTTTCTTTACAATAATGATATCGTATCATTCCAAAAAACACATTAATGCACTGTAATCTGTGTATGTATCACATTTATGAATCTTTATTATGACAATTATGAAAAATTATAAGCAAAGCTCTGTGGCATAAAAGAACAAATATAAACATCACTACTTTACTTTTGAAAGTAATCTCATTTACTATATCATGAGAAGATGGAGTCCACATAGTAAAATTTCTGCTTATCTCAGGAAATACATCCCTTCATAGGTTAGAAAGATTGAAAATGAAAATAATAAAGCCACTGATTGAGACTAACATAATAAAAATATATTGCGGACTTTTGTCACTTTTTGACTAAGCAGCATTTAAACACCCTTCCGTTTCATGGAGTACTCCAGTATGTGAATTTTGATGACCAGAGGTCTAATCTTCACCTCTGAACACCAAGGGACCAGATACTTTCTTCTTCCAATGTTTTAGTTAAAAGTTGCCCCAGGGACACATACACGTTAATCACATGCTCCTAACCCTGGCTCAGCAGATGGATGGAAGCAGAGAAGTATTTCAGAGCAGCAGTAATGGCCTCAATGTCCAGGTGTAGTGGTGGTCAGTTGGCAGTTGTAAGGACCGAGTCCAATGGCAGCTGCAAAAATTAAGTCATTCTACCTACAGTTTCAGTGGCGAGTACTTGATATTGTTGGTTACTGTCTCACTTCTGTTGGTGTCTACTTCTTAACAAACCTAATTCTTAAGGACGCTCACCAATTTTGATGGCTGCGTAGAATTGTTCCAATAAATGTATTTGCCACTTTCTATGGCCAAGCTGACTTTTGTGGTTTGAAAACAAGAACCTCGTCTGTCAAAAGCATTATTGTCATAACATTCCAAAAGAAAAATATTTCCAAATAATGCATTACTTGTAATGATGGGCAATGCAGACCTCTCACCTCTGGTCAGAATCTCAGTGATGCCACACTACTGCCTGAGGTTAGTCCTCTTACTTCTGTAACTGTTCCCTCTGCAGTAGCATTAGTCACACTGCAGAGTCAAGAAACACGACCTCCAGTGTCCATTTTACAGAAAATGATCACCTATCATATTTTCTGATAATTTTATTCTCTGAGCTTTACATTTCTCATTTATGAATACAGTTTTTTGAATTATCATTATGTCCAGCTAATTCTTTGAATGTACGGCTTAATAAGTATCCTTCATTTACAAGTGACTTTTCTTTCACTGAGTTACTCATAGCTCCCAAGATGAACTGTTGGCCACTCGGACAGTCATTCCGTTAAGGAGTATTGAAGAAGCACAACTGTCAAAGAAAAGGACTCTCACGCTTACCCCAAAGGTGTTGCTTGTGACTTGGTTCTTTGACTGAATGTTCTTCTTAATGTGTTCTTGGTCTATAAACTTGTGACTCCAAAGAGGTCTAGGAATGCCTTATATTTGCTTTTTTAAAGTTATTTTAATTAAGTATACTTTATTCATTATGCTATTGTAGTTGTCTGGTATTTCTCCTTTGCTCTCCTCCAGCCCATAACCTCATTCTCTCCAGCAATACCCTCCTTAGTTCCTGTCTGTGGGTTGTACAAAGAAGTTCTTTGGTTTCTCCATTTTCTTTACTATTCTTAACCTCCCTGTCTTTTGTACCTACTAATTCTGTTTTTCCTTATACCTTTTCCCCCATTCTCCCCTTTTACTCTCTCCACTGATAACCCTCCACATGGTCTCCATTTTTATGATTCTGTTCCTATTCTAGTTGTTTGCTTAGTTTCTTTGTTTGTTTTTAGATTCAGTTGTTGATAGTTGTGAATTTGTTGTCATTTTACTGTTCATAGTTTTGATATCCTTCTTTTTCTAGATAAGTTCCTTTCACATTTCATATAATAAGGGCTTGGTGATGATGAACACCTTTAGCTTTGCCTTGTCTGGGAAACACTTTATTTGCCCTTCCATTCTAAATGATAGCTTTGCTGGACAGAACAGTCTTGGATATAGGTCCTTGCTTTTTATCACTTTAAATTCTTCTTATGAGTCCCTTTTGCCTTCAATGTTACTTTTGAGAAATCAGATGATAGCGTTACGGGAACTCCTTTGTAGGTAGCTGTCTCCTTTTCTCTTGCTGCTTTTATGATTCTCTCTTCAACTTTTGGCATTGTAATTATGTGAAAAAAGAAGTTTTCCTTGCTTCTTTTATTGTTTTGAAACTTTCTTTGTTAAAAGTACTTTAACATTTTTATTTCAAGAATGTATTGTTCCATTTTCCAGATGTGTGAGGTGCCATATTACTTTACATATTTAAGAAGCCTAGAGTTATAATTGCTGCCAATTTCTCAACTCCAGCATTATACATTGTTGGTAGGAATTTATCTGACTTTGCATAGAGCAAGCTTAGTTTAAATGGAAAAAATGTCAAAAGAAAATAGAGTATGATGGAAAGTCCATATTTTTTGGAATTAGTTTCATTGTGAGATGTTTAAGTATATCTTGTATGGAGAAGCATATGCCAGTGGAATTATGCTGCTTAATGCACAACTGTCAAATGTGAAAAATCCATCAGATGAGAAGGCTGTTCTCCATGAAATGACTCATCATGGAAATAATGAAACTTAACTTTTCCATGATGAATTATTAAAATCCATCATACTGTCAGGTAGATTTAAATATAAAGACATTTAAATTGTGTTTGAATTCTAGAGTACTTGTATAAGGTGAAAGTTACCCATCCTTAACAGAAGTTGATTTTTTCATTCAATAAATAATTATTTATGACATATCCGTATGTATGTATGCATGGATTTGTTTACTTACATTCAGGATATGTGCTCTAAAACTTCCAAGTTATCCTTTGGGTTGGGGATTAGAAGCAAAACTCCAATTGCTTGCAAGATGGATTCTCAGGTATTGTCTGACCCTGAATCTATGGTCTCTACCATGTTCAGATTCAGTGCTCAACAACATCAGCTATTCTCTTGTTCTAAGTCCAGTTGTTGCTTAATTTCCAACAATCTTGACTTTTGAATTTTTTGTCCACCTTCTTGTCTTGAACCTTTTATATTAAATATTTTCTTCATAACT